TGTCTACGATTGCACCTATCTAGTAGGTCAGGTGGACTCATTTGTTTCTAGTGCCTTGATTACTGAACAGTATAGAAGATAAATAAATAAAACAATCCAACTTGGGCAAGGTCAACTTATTCGATACAGCATTATTTTGCCAATACACTGATGAATTTGTTATTTAAGAAGTGACTAAAATCCAACAGATTTGAGAACATCCAAATGAAATGAGCCTAATAGATTATGCCATACTGAAGTGCTCTGAACCACTGATCAAACGTACCACAGATTATTGTGTTTACCTTAAACTCTTCATGCTTTCTGAAACTTCATTATTATTGGAAGACGCTTTGCCAGGAACCTCAAATGTTAAGAGTTGGCTTACCCAAAAAAAAAAAAAAAAAAATAGGCATGGGGCTTGCTAATGGATGGGGTCAGTAATATGATGCTGGGGATAGAATGACTGTAGTGGCCCACCCACCACAGCCAGCTGGCCACCAGGACGGAGCTCCATAGAGGGGAACTGACAAACGCTTTTACAGGAAAGAAGATGAAGAATAGAAACTCAAAAACCTCTTATGGCATTTCAGCAAGTGCTAAAATAGAAATAGTCACATTCATGGTCAGTATGTTGGAGACAGAAGCAAAGGGAATTAACTGTAATTTAGGCAGAAGAGAAAGAAAAGTGATGACCAAAGAAAAGAAGAAAGTAAAAAGAGGAAAGATCTATTTTGAAGGAAGAAAGAGTTCACTTACTAATTTGACATTTCTTCACCTTCTCTTGAATGCCAGCCTAATTAGTTAATACGCTACATTATGTTATACACAATAAAAATCTGGATATAATACGGTTCCCATAGCCATTCTGAGACTGTCCGCATGTTGAAAATTCTATTTAAATTTGGCCAGATAGTGCAGTATACGTTTCCATTTATAATTTCTTTTTTTTAATCCTGACAATATAAGCATGAGGTAACATTTTACTTGCTTCTATTTATCTGTTTTATTACAGATCTTTGCTCTTTGCTTTTTCAGCCTATTGAGCTGAGAATTGAGAATTGAGAATGTCTGTTATTTTCACTTTTAGAATAATTTCTTCTTAGCCCATATGAAATTTTAGGATTTCCTTTTCTGAAATCTTCCCTCTTGTAGGCTTCAGTTAAATTATTCGATATATTAAGTGTTATTCAAACTCTAAAGATGTACAATTATTAATGGTGGAATCTTGTCCCATCACCAACATCACCAATAGAGGAAATACAAAGGTAATAATTCCAATCTTCTGTAAATGAACTCAGAAAATATTTCTGAAATTTTCCTAGTTTCAAAATCCTACTGGAAATTCATCATTCTAAGTCTGTGTCTTGTATGAGTGGAATAGTGTATCTTTAAATTCAAAAATACAAATGTTTCCCTTGAGCTCCATCCCACTGCCAATCTTAATAACAGCCCCCACTCTAAAATCCTAGATTGTCCTTAAGGCTTATTTTGATCTAGAATTACTTAGAAATCTGTTCTGTCCTGAACCATTGCAACCTATGTTACATCAATGCCCATTTACTGCACAATCTTGTTAGGGCCTGAAGTTGCTTATAGTTTTATTTATGGTCTTGATTTCAAATCAAAATTAAAATGAGTCCTCCAGATGTTTGGGTTTTGAGTCGCCATGTAAATGGGTTTCTAGGTTGGAAAATTTTGATTGTGTTTAGTTTCCTTCTCCTTAACCACCTCCGTGGTCCGTCTTCTGCTGATGAACGAAATGCAGCCTTCCCAGAGCATCAAATGTGCTCAGAGCATTTGCAGTGCGAGAAGAAAAAAACCATAATCACTCCCTACAATATTCGACATTGAGTGAAACAGCATCAAAACAGGGTGATGGATGCATTTCATACCACAATTGCCCAGGAAGTGGGAGAGCATTTTGTTTTTGCTGTTTCAGCAACATGAATGTTAGAGTCTCTCATGGACTTGCTAATAACAAAACATTTTAAAATTTAGATGTGAGCAGATACTGTTTTTCCATCTCCTTCTTTCCCTTTCAAAGCAAATAGATACAGACAGGGTGAAAACAGCCATTTCAACTCTGTCCTTACCCATTCCCCCAGACCAGTAAGTCCTGAGCACCCACCGTGGGCCTGACCCCGGGGAGAAGGTACTGAAGGTCACCCAGTCTGAGAGGGGAAAGGCAGTGAAGAATTATAAAGTTCCCAAAGGGGAGGCAGAAAATAGCGCAGGGAACCTTGAAGACAAAGAAGGAAGGAAGACAAACAATTTCAGGTTGAATTTTGGAAGCATGTAGATCAGCTGCGTGTCCAGGGGCTCTTCAGGGGCTCTGCAAACATCAGTGTCCTCATCTCTTGAACGTGGCCACAACAGAACATTTCCAGTTAGGTTGTTGTGAGGGTTAAGTGAGAAAACACATACAAGTGCCCTTAATAGAGGGCCTGGAACATAGAAACACTGAGTAAGAGCTCACAACGAAGTCCTGGATATGAACCCAGGGGCGCATCATCCGTTGGCAGTAAGAGACGGTATGAGAAGGGAGGTAACTTTACTTCTATGTTCTAAGTATGAGCAAAATGCCATTTAGTCAGCTCCAAAGTGAATTGATTGGCCCTATCTCAAATGCTTCTGGGAAGTGGAGGTGGGTAATAGTGTTCCTCAGAGGTCCTCAAGAAAACACCCAGACACGGGTTTACTGGCTGGTCTGTGAAAATCCATATAACTACACCTACGACAAAGTAGAAGAATTATGATCATGTCTGTTCACTCTTTGAAGAATATAATCATGTGTAACCAAAACAATTTATACTGGAAATTATTCCCTAGTCTCAGCCATTAGCAATAAAAAGGGGTGAAAAAGTGAAGCATTCATGTGAGAAATGGATGTGGTCTGGTCTTAGAATGTACCTACTTCTTCAAGAAAGAAATAGATGTGGATTCAGATTAGGGTAGATTGGACACACTTAACAACAGCTGTTGATTGGAAATAACACTGAGGTCTGATGGATGACCAGGAGATGAGGCAAAGCCAGAAAGTCCTAAGAAAAAACACAAAGGGCCTTATGGTGCCATTTCTAAAAAATGACTTTGGTAGGGAAAAAAAAGATCATTTTCAAGCAAAGCAGATTCTCTTAGTCTTGAATACAAAGCAATAGAGGTGATCAGGTCCAGTGACAAACTTCTAAACCCCACAGAGGTGATGAGTCCTCCTGTTTCTACGTGAAAAGGAATGGATGGAAGAGAAGGAGACAGAGAATCAGAACCGTGTTTTGTCCTCAAGTGCCTGTCTGGTCCTACATGCCTTACCTCAGCCAAGCTCACACATACGGAGGTGTGCTCCAGGTGTCTGTGCTAGCCAAAAACACCAGGAAGCCAATGCCCACGTACACGGAATCACACAGGGACACGTGAGCTGACAATTATGGCTTTTAAAACTGTCTCATATGGGCCAATGGCATGGGTGCCATCAAAAATAATGTTAATTGGGGAACTAATGTGCACTGAGCATATTTAAAAACCTTATCTTTAATCCTCAAAACATGCTTAAAAAAAAAAGGATATCATTACTTTATCCCCACTTTACAGATAAGGAAACTGAAGATTAGGAGAGTTAAGTAACTTGCCTAGGGTCACACATCCAGAAGACACGTAGCTGTCACCCCCGGTCTCCCATGGACTGATGCTGCCTCTCTGACTTATTAGAGAAAAGACATAAATCTTGTAGAAAGAAAACCATTCCTCTGGGGAACAAAAGAGATCCTCAAATACTAGGAGGGGATCTGAAAAGAGTTTAGCACCACAGAAAAATCCAGCACATCTAACATTTCCTCGTGACCTATCAACTAACGTCTGGATGTCCTAGATTGGGGGGTTGGGATGGGAAGTAGTGTGCTAAAACATTTTATGGCTTTAAACTTTTCTCCCAGAAGCAAAAGCAACACAGCATTTTATTTGCAAATGTGGTTTTAAGGCAAACAGTTTTCTGGGGAAGCGCAGTCAGAGGGCACTACTGGCATCATGTGCACAGTCCGCTGCGGCACACGGATCCCACATGGAGCTGCCATCACTGCACCCAGGAAAGCCTCGGAGCAGTCTCAGGAAGAAGGACCGGAGGGTTAAAGCAAATGATAAATAAGAGGAGTGGAGGGAGGAGAGGGAAGAAGACCTACAGAGACTTTGACTGTTCCAGTAACTCACCACCTCTATTCTGCAGACCAAGGCACCCGAGGACAGCAGGCAGGTGACAGTCCACCTTTTGCACTTTCAGAAAATCTGTGACAACTGTAGTTAACCTGCTGCTAAACGTGGGAAGAAAATGCTAGGGTCTCATTTTGAGAATTGGTCTCCGTTTCCCTATGGCCCTTAAATTGCTAGGAGGGGAGGTCTGTTTTGTGTGTGTGTGTGTGTGTGTGTGTGTGTGTGTGTACCTATGCGTGGATGGATGGATGGACACACGAACACATACAGTAAATATGGTTTGACGTCCTCTCTGGGGAGGTAAAAATTCTCCAGGGAAAGCCGAGCCTGTGAAAACCTCCTTCCAGCTTCCAGGGAGCAGTTTCTAATCTACAAGTCATTCGTGAGACACAAGGCAGGGACCCGAGGACGGCTCCAGAAGAATTTTAGGTATGAACAATGAACTCACCAACTCCTTCCCCCCTCATACTGCTTTAAAAAAAAAAAGGGCTCCCAGGACTGCTTCAAATTTGCTGAAAAGCAGAACTGGACCACAGCTCGTTTCAACCGTCGGTATTTTCGATACAATAAACGCCTTCAGGACAAGTCGCCCACCACTTAAAAGCATCTGTCCACCAGAGGTGTTCCCTCTACCTTCGTGTTTTCTCAAGCACTTGTTCAAAAACACATTTAAGTGGAATGTTTTCGTTTCTGCAGATTGCATTAATTATGGGTTTGCAAACACTGCGAGCCCACGAGGTCTGCCCAAGCTGGGGGCTGCAGACGCCCGGCCTGGGCCAGCCGCGGCGGCTTGGCTCGGCTGGGTCACAGCTCCGCACTTGGCACCGCGCGCCCGGGCGGCCAAGACTGTCTCGTAGAAGTCGCAGCTAAGAAAGAAAAACACACGGCGGTCAACCGCGGTGACCCACGCGCGGGCAGGAGCGCGGATGTGCATGCTGTCCCCCACCTAGGAGAGGACTCAAGACGGGCAAAGGGACCGCAGGACGTGGACACCGCTTCGTCCTTCTCATTTCTGCCTGCCTGGACGAGTGAAAAATTATCTTTAGTTTTAGTGTCATCTGATCTTCTAAATTCACTTAGGAAGGGTCTCTGGGAGAGTCAGGGGAACCTTGTGGGGCCCACGAGTCAGGACCACCGCTTGCAGCCCCTTCACCCAGCAAGCGACCACCTGGTCCGCCCGGCGCACGGGCCGAGAGCCCAGCCGGCGGACAAACGCGCTCCAGGCGACCGGTCAGCGGCGAGCGGGGGCCCAAGTCCACGGTGGGTCCGCCCTCGGACAGTCCGCGGGCCGGCGCCGGCGTTCCCAGACCTTGTTGCCGCGCGGGACCCTGGCCACCCGTTAGTGGGGGAACGTAGGCCGCCCGAGTGCACTCGCAACTCCCACCCACCCGGGACGGCAGGACCCCAGGAGTCCGCCGCAGCCAGTGGCCGTCCAGCCCCCCGCGCGCACGCCGCGGACCGACCCGGGCCCCACCTGCCCTGTCCTCGCAGGCGGGAGGAGGGGCCACCTCCCGAGGGTCACCTGCTCCCCGCGTCTGAGCGCTTTGGCCCGAGGCAAGCGCGGGGACACGGGCCGGGCCAGCGGCAGGGGGCGGCAGGCGAGCTCGCCAGGTCCCTGCGGGCCGGGACTCACCGTGAGCGCCGAGAACTTCTGCGCGGGCGCGGGCGGGAGCAGCCCCGCGAGCAGCGGCAGCCAGCAGAGCTGGGGGAGCAGCATGGTGACGCGCGCGGGGACGACGGGGGCTCTCGGCCCCGGAGGGCGCGGGCGACACTCGGAGCAGCGGCCGCGCCCTGCGCGCTGGCACGGCGGCCGTGGAGCCGGGTGAGCGAGAGCGGCCGAGCGCACGGGCGGAGCGGCTGCTCGCGGTCCTCTCCCCACCACTCCAGGCGGCCCGGACTCGACCAGCTGCCCTCTTGACACCGAGCGGTCCTCCGCGTTCTTTGCAGCTTCCCTGGCTCCTGTCAAATAACTGCAGAACTTCCCGGATCCTCCTCCTTCCCTCCTCCCTCCCCTCTCCTCCCCCAGCCCCACCTCCCGCGCCCGCCGCCGCGCCCCGCTCGGCTCGGATGCCCGCTCGGGCCGAGGGGCCGCCCCGGGCGCGGGTCTGCGGGAGCAAGAGACAGAGAAGGGGCCACGAGGGCTGTGCTGTTGCCTGTTGGCGCTGTGTGCATGCCGCCTTCCCTGCGCGCGCGCACACACGCACACGCGTGCACACACACAGACACGCGCGCGCGCCCTGGGAGAGCTGCCTGGCACAAACACAAGATGCGCTGCGCCTTTCTCCCGTCCCAGGGCACTGACCCGATCCACGTACCACCACCCCTGCGGGTCTGGTTCACACACCAGGGTTAAAGCGAAGCCTAGGTCAGCCCCCAGCTCCTCCGCAGCCCCACCCCCACCCCCCACCATGGTTCTCCTAGACCTCCGGACTCTAATGCGACCTGGTCCAGTCCAGAATGTCGCCTTTAACTTGCTGATTGATTAGCTGGCTCTCTACCAAGGGAGCCATCAACACAACACCTTCCAGAAAACTCACGGAGAGCGGAAAGCCTTTGGCGTCTTGACGTAGGTCGACCCGCTCGGGGCGTGTTTTGGACCCAGAGATCCAAGATCTGACTTGCATGTAGCGATGACCCGCGGCAAATGCGGCAGAATGTGGCTGCTTTTCAGCAGCCCCGTCAAAGCCTGTCAGGTGTTTATGCAGTGAGCTCAGGGGTTGCAGAAATTGCAGACTCCTCTGTGGACACTGGTTGGAAACCAAGAGAAGTTCGCACACCCAGACTCTGGATAGTACTCACTGCAGACAACATTGCTGAAATAGTTTAGCCTTGGCTTACAACTTTATAGGAAAAAGCCCTAATTCTGGCTCACACAGAAAACCAAAAGAGTGAAGATTTTCAAGAACAATGCCTCAGTTGACTTGTCAGAGGCACTGGGAAAAAGAACAAACCATAGAAAATACAAATCTGATTTTTAATCCCATGTTTAATCTGAAACTTTGGCTCTGAATTGGGTGGGAGGCCACTGTATCAGCAAATTCTGGGACTGGCTGCTGAGGCAAAGGGTGTGCTGTTCTAACCATTGGGTCCCAGACTGCGGAGGGAGAAATCTTCCCATTTTCATCAGGAAAGTGATGGACTTAGGGCCATGGAAAGATGGAAAGAAATGTATCTTCCTGAAAGAGGGCCACTCTAAGAATGTTCCTTCAAATTCCAGAGCCCAGAGAATCTATTAAGCGCTTAAACACATTCCTCCTGGCTTGAGGGCTTGGAAGGAAATTATAATAAAACTCTTTGGGGACTGCTTGTGGGTCCCGAGAAACAGGTGAGCGGAGCAGCTGCAAACGATTGAGTAAATAAGGAATGCTATTAGGAAACGCTGATAAAAATTAAGGTAAAAGTAAAAAAGTAAACACTGCATACCGCTCATTCTACGATCATCCAAAGAAGAAAATTTACATTCAAAGCTGACATAAATCTTTTAAAAAGTATTTGCTACTAAAAACTTTGTATTTACTTTCTACTTTATTGAAAGGAGTACAAGCCCATAGCTAAAAAATTTATTTGATATTGTGTACTTTTCTATAGAACTTAAAAGATTGAACATGTTCATTCATTCACCTTCATCAACTTCAAGGATGGCCAGTAAGGAGTCGACGTAATGATTCCCATCTTACGGATGAGGAATAAAAACAGAGTCAAACGTCTTCACCAGATCTCACAAACAGCAAAATGAGGACCAGACCCCAGATGCCAAAACTTCCAATACTGGCAGTTCTACTTTATTCCTTTGGAGGTTGTATAGAGAAGCCTTAGGGGGCTGAAGAAAACTTCTTGGCCCTCAAAGCCTTTTATTCAAGAATCTCAACACATCATTCACGTATCAACTCCAAAATCCTCTCGGAACTCCAAAAAGATAAATGAAATGTATTTGTCCAAGACTCTGACAGATGAGGCAGGATTGCATCCTTCAAAGACCCTTTGATAACTGGAAGAACCCACAGGTCCTAAGTGCCAAACTTTAATTTCTTAGAGATGCTAGAAGTGGAGTTTGGAGACATAATCAGTTGCCATTTTTATAGAGAAAAATAGTACATTTATTAAAAACACTAGGATATAGTTATGTCTGTCTGTCATTCTTAAGTCTCCAAAAAATTATTACTGGTGTGAATAACAGATAAGTGCCCCATCAGGAAGGATATATAAGTAAATTCGTTTAGTGCAAAATTAAGACAGGAAATAATTGGCTCAATATTTTCCAAACAGTTCCTGTGGGACAGACAAGCTCATAGAAGAAGTTCCTGTCTCTTGGAAATGTGGATTTTTAAAAAAAATAATAAGTGATAAGGGCCCATTCTAAAATACGGATTATGGGCCCAGGATTTAAATTTCTGTCACTGATGAAAGTTACAGTAATGATGAGCAACAGAAACTAATGGCCCAGTACGCTAGCCATTTCTAAACCGACACTCCCTCTTAGCAAAATGCTTTACCAGGCGTACTGACTCACTTTTTTATTTATTTTACTATGCTAGAACTGCTAAAGGATTTTATTCTTTTTGTAGACATGATATAACTTAATTATTATTTCTGGCTGATTCGTGTTTGGCCGGAAAGTTTGTCAGCTTACGTTTCCACCTCAACAGGCAAAGTATAAGACCTTGAACCAAATGCCTCTTTGCCGATTCAGTGTCGTCCAACCTCAGAGTCATCGCCCTGAGTGTCGGCTGGATGGGAGCGACCACGCGCTGACTGCTCTGTGCAGCCTGGACGTCACCCCACTTCCCCAGTTACCCGTCAGTCACTTATTTCATGAATATTTTCTCCTAGTCTCTATCTAACCCTGGCAAGGAGACTCTTCGCAGTTCTCTCGGTCCCCTTAGGTCAGTTCTGGGTAGTTGTCCATTCTTGTCTGTCAGTCACACTCCTCTCAACTCAGGGAATTACTCCAGACTTTACTCTGGACAAGGGAATTGTCAGTTTCCTGGAGTTTCTAGAGTCTCCGGCCTCTTCTTTGCTTATTCACATGGATGACCTGCACTTCCCTGTACTTGTTCCCTTCAGTCCATGGGAAAAGGATGGCTGACCCTTACATCAGTCCTGGGGGTCCTCAACTCCAGAAACCCACATGCCAAACAAGGGTCGCAGGGAGGTGGAGTGACTGTGGCCTGATAAAATTGGACAGTGCTGGTGGAGCTGGCCTTCGCCATGACTGCAAGACAAGGCAAACACGGGTGTCATGTTCAAGAGCAGACCAGGTGGAAACATGTATTCCAACCCTTAGCCTAACTCAGAGGCTCTCTTCCCTGTTTTTATACATTTAAGTAAGAGATAATCTGAATTTGTCTTTGTTCTCAATGAAACCATGTAGACAAGTTTCTTCTTCCTTCTCAAGATGCCTTATGACAAGTTTTATGACAACACTTTTTAGGCACTTTATGGAAATTTTTAATAAATTGGAATGTGCTGGGTATCTGATACACATTATCTAATGGACTCTTGCAGGAATGCCGCAAAGTAATTGTTTTGAAGATGATAATAATAATGCCTGAGGAGATTACAGGACCTGCCCAGATTTACACAACCAGTAAGTGGTGGGAGAAGAATCTTTTTTTTTTTTTTTGTGAGGAAGATCAGCCCTGAGCTAATATCTATTGTCAACCCTCCTCCTTTTTTTCCCTTTTTCTCCCCAAGGCCCCAGTAGATAGTTGTATGTCGTAGTGGCACATCCTTTCTAGTTGCTGTATGTGGGACACCTCCTCAGCATGGCCGGACAAGCGGTGCGTTGGTGCGCACTTGGGATCTGAATCCCGGCCGCCAGTAGCGGAGCTCGCACACTTAACTGCTAAGCCACGGGCCGGCCCCTGGGAGCAGAATCAACTCAAGTTACACCCAGGGGTCCAGATCTTTCCTCCACAACATCTACACCCGTGAGTGTGCGAGCACAGACACACCATCACTGACTTGCGCTGCTTTGCATCTTAAGATCCACCACCAAACAAGTAAAAAAAGCACTTTGCAGTTGTTTCTGATTTTTTTAGTAACACTTCAATCCTGCTACAGTGTTTTCCAAGTTAAGGTTTAATGTTTCCAAAGAAAACTCTTGGGCCGGCCCTGTGGCTTAGCGGTTAAGTGCGCGTGCTCCGCTACGGGCGGCCCCGGTTCGGATCCCGGGCGCGCACCGACGCACCACTTTCCCAGCCATGCTGAGGCCGCGTCCCACATACAGTAACTAGAAGGATGTGCAACTATGACGTACAGCTATCTACTGGGGCTTCGGGAAACAAACAAAAGGAGGAGGATTGGCAATAAATGTTAGCTCAGAGCCGGTCTTCCTCAGCAAAAAGAGGAGGATTAGCACGATGTCAGGGCTGATCTCCCTCACAAAAAAAAAAGAAAGAAAGAAAATTCTTTTTCACACAGACAAATACAAAATTGCTACTTTTACTGCAAGAACATTCCCTCTAACATTGACGAGAGACACCTGCACCATGCTGAAGGGATGTATCTCTGGTGCCAGAGATAGACTCAGTCTAACTAACCAATCCTACATCAAGCCCAAACATGCCACTACTGCCAGGAGACTTAGCACAGGTTTATTGAAATCTGTTTGTTTCCATAATATCCAGAAGCTCTTGTTGCCTTTCCATTCATGAAACTATGTTGATTAATATATGAAACTTATAGAATATATCAGTTACAGAGCTAAATATAATAATAATTTTAAAAGCCTATCACTACCAAGACTAATGATGGCAGAAGGTGTGTGCGTGGAGAGACTCGGAGCTAACGAAATGTATAGCAGCCAAACTATTCCTACCTCAGATGACCTAATCTACCTTTGGATTCTCCCTCCTTATTAACTACAATCTAGGAGTCTCTTCCTCCTTTCTTCATTCAAGACCTGCCTTTAGGGGGAAAAAACAGTTTTAGAATGACAACAGAAATACTGCTTGCCAGGAATTCTCTGCAGCTCATGGACCACACAGATGTGAGTTATCCGGACAGAAAGCAGGGTAAGAAGATACCACAATAAAAAAACCTTTCAATCACCTTCAGCAACCCCTCCCCCTTCTCTAGCCCAGCCCATACCATGCAGGCATTCCATTAAACTCTCCTCTCCCCTAGCTCTGGGTTCAATATTAAAATTCATCCTTGCAAAATTCAGACAAACAGCAGAATGATGTAAACAATTTTTGCCCCCTGGCCTTATACCACCAACTGACTTCCGTGTCTTTCAGGAAGAGTCCATTGTTGGGTAGCGGAATTTTGGCTGCATCATCCAACATGCTTGGCTCCATCTTCCCAACCAGGAGCCTCTCTGACTTGAGTGCAGGAAGTAATGGTCTTCTAGGGCTTGGTACTAGTTTTGCCTAAATCCTGGGAAATTCCTTAATTCCTTCTGTCTTAGAAAACAGTGCCACAAAGTGGAGATCCAGTTACATGATTTTGGACCATTTACTTCATAGTTCTGTATATCTGGATGCTTACCTAAGGAAACCAGATTTTTCCTGTAATACCTGTAATGTAACTAAACAATGGGCAGCAGGGACGCATGGAATTCTGCCGGTGCCGGTCACATCTATGGTGCACTCAGATTTGTCTTCTAAGACTTGCAAAGGGGGTCATTTGCATTCAATGAACATATACAGATGTGTCCAAGGCACACAGCGTCAGGCAGTCCATCAGCAAATCTGATGGGGGCCTGGCACAGGAGCAGGTGGGAAATGACACAGCACCTGCCCTGCTCTCTGGCCTCGAATCCTCAGTAAGTCTTTTGCTTTTTCAAGCAAAGGGGACCTCTTTCCTCCACATGCTAATTATTCATTCTTTTAGATACTTAAGCATCTTCACATAGTTTTTTGAACAATAAAACCAATTTTAATCTTTATATCACTATATCATTATATATAATCAACATACCAAAATATACATCATTCAGTTCCACAGGACATACAGACAGCTGCGTGTGTGTGTGTGTGTGCGCGCGCGCGCCTGTATATATATATATATATTTTTTTTTTTTTAAGCCAAAAAGTATTTCCATGGAAACACATCTTGATATACTAGGACACAATGATATTATGACTATTTGGATTGCTTCTGTTATATAGAAGGAATCAGCTTGGTTCAAGGACACCAAAGAAATCTGCTTGAATAGGACAACACAATTAACATTGCAATTTATTAAACATCAGCTTAGTGTTTAATTAAGGGGGAGTTTGTAAGTACTCAGAGCCTCTGACAGAACGTAATTTGGAATGCCGGTTAGGGTGAAAGTGTAGTTGAAACTATTTAGCCAAAAAAGAATATTATCTAATTGTATTTGTTTATTATTTAGTATTGGTGATTGGGATCCTCACAGACAGTTCTCAACCCTTTATTTATAAATATTTAGGATTATTTTATCATTTTAAGAATTTATCAGGTTCTTTTATGACTCTTTAGCATTTTTTTACATTTCTAATTCATTGTTCTTCTATATGAAATATTGGCATATAGAAGACACCATCAATAAGAAGCATGCCATTATTTTATCTACCACTATGAAAGGAAAAAATGCTTATGATTAAGTCATAATGCAGTGCTGTCTACAAGTGGCATTAGGTCCATCGCCTCAGAGATGCTGCACTGTAGGGAATGAGCCTGTGTCATGTATAAATCCCATATGTCTGCTCTCTGCTGTTGGAACAATGGCAATAGCTAATGATGGGAGTTATTATATTCTGGTTTACTATTTTTGTTCAAAATAAGAGTAGTACATACCCACTAGAGCAAAAAGGAAAAGGAGAAACAGAAGAAGAATCCAAACAACGCTCGCATTCTCCAACTAACGACCACGGTTGGGACAAAGGCATTCTTCCCTACACTCCACAAAAATGCCTCCTAAGCCAGGGTAGCAGAGTTTTTAAAGCCATAAATCTACAAAGAAAAAGAAAACAGAAGAGAAGACGATGTGCAAGAAAACCCCAGAAGCTGGGAAGCAGTTGGACAAGTGGAAAACGACTTAACAGACAGCAGAGGGAAAATGCAGGGCAAAACCTGACCTGTATCATGGACCCTTCAGAAGGCCGAGAAATCGGTATTGGAAACCTCTGGAAGCAGGGAGGAAAGCAGGCCCAAAGACAACCCCATCCTCTCCCACGAGAGCAGAGGAGTGAAGCTTGTTCTTCCGAGAGGCCAAAGCAGAGCCTCTGGACTGCTGGACGCCTGAGACTGTCAAGGGCAGGGCCTCAATAATGCATGTGGGGATGGAGTGCAGGTTCATGTAATGAATGTTGGGGAACCTCTGCTCCTTCCCCACTAGGCTCCCTGAAGGATCAGTCAGGCATGTGCCCTCCTGGGAGGAGGTCTGGAAGAATCTTCTCCAGGAAAGCCAGTGGCACAAAGGGAAGACATGAAGACACTGACCCCCGGGTTTCCTGGGGGAAAAGGGGAGCCAATATCTCTCCAGTCAGAACCATGGCTGGCAGGCCTCACCCACACACCACCAAACCAGTACTAATGTCTCCTCCTCAATCTGAGTGGACATCAGGAACCACCGGGCAGTGCAGGAAAGCCTCTCCTCTCTTGGGAGAAGCCGAGCCCAAAACCAACCAAAGGGACAAGCCCTGGAGGGGACAGTCGTGTGGGGGCCATGGGGACAGGAGGTGTTCCAACTCATGCCCTCCGAGTCATAGGGGAATCTACACGTCCAAGAAACAGGACCAGAGGCTGTGGGTTTTTTCAAGGCAATTTCAAATAGGAAAAATAATAGTAAGCTCTTAGCATAGCAGAAATGGAAAATGCAATAGAATGGATAGAAGAGAAAGGTGAAGAAACCTCCCTGAAAATAAAAAAATGCACAGAGCTGGATAACATAGGAGAGAAAACCTGGGATAAGGAGAGGACCACGAGAGAGATCCAGAGAAGTCTTTGCTGAGAGAGGACATGGCCATTTCCTGCCCACCCACCACCCTGCTCCCACAGGGAACGCAGCTGCTCTGACCTTGGACCCCTGGCTGAGAGCCCTTGGGAAGGGGACAGAGGAGGCAAGTCTGGGAAGAGCAACTTCTCCCTCTCGGCTCCTTCCTGGCCTGGGAGGGAGGAGTCGGACTGCCCCCAATGCAGAATTCCTGCCCGGTCTTGAGGGGGTTGTGCAAAGAAACAGCAGCAAGAGTGGGAACCCCCTGGGACTTTCAGACTCGCACAGTGACAGGACTGAGGGTCC